CAAATGCTGTTACGAGAACTGAAAACCAGTATGTGCATTTTTAATATCTGACTGAGGCTCCGAGTCTTACACTAGGAGAACTTGACAGATTTTCCTCTCTAGGTCATCACTTATGTATTAGCAAATCAAATTTCTCTCAGTCTATTTGAGTGCTTTACAAAATTAAACAGGCAAACATTACCCACATTGTAACCATGGGACCCAATTCTCAAACAATTTTCTACCTCTAGGGTATTGTGAGAATAGCAGAAACCAGAATCTGTGGTCTCAGTCATCCACATATGCCTCTGTTTACTCTTGAGAAGATACTTGAAAGCAAATGAAGCCATCAAATCACTCATCTCTCCCCTGTCCTGAGCAAGGCTACCAGAATTTCCCATGTGAAGCATCCAAATCCATGTCTGAAAAGCCCTGCCACATACAGCGCAAGCTGCCAATTTGTTAATGCGAAGTTCTTCAGGGGATCACCAAAGGGAGTATGGCAGCAATAGACCTGCTTATATAGTGGGGTCCTTTGCCTGTTTTTCATCATAATACAGGGACAATCCCTCCTTGTGAACAAAGTGCTTCTTTAAGTAATTCACAACCTAACTCAGCTGGTTTTACTAGCTACATAATCTTAAATGATCTCTCTCTCAAAAAAAAAAAAAGGCTACACAGACATCTTTGTGATATCAAAAATATCAGCTTGTATTTTGGATTTCACAGTTACCATAGCTGACACTGGTGTGTAATGGAGAACTGACGACTGGAATTGCAGAACTGTGTCTCACAAGCAGTTTCGTAGGACTCTGGCACACATCAACAGTTGGATCTCAGCCTGTCCAACTCTGCGTATTCTATTCTTATTCCTAACAGTAAAGACTACCTTGTGAGTTCATCTAGAATTTTTACAAAGAACATATCAATCTGTGTGCAAGGTATGAAGCATATGAACAAAAATCTTTAGCTGATTTCACCCAGAAGATTTTTAGCTATTCCAAAGAAAATTTATTCTGAGCAACTACATGTAGTCAAACAAGATGTATATATGTTTCCTATTATATGAGGCACATTCTTGTAAACAGCACCGTTTGAGACGATGCACAACAGCTTAAGTAGTTCACATACATTATATGCAATCATAGATGTATGTTGAGTATTATCTATTAAATGGCCATTTTGAGATCATGCACATAGTCAGTTTGCATATATAACTGCAGGAACTGTATATGCAAATCAAGCACATAATTGCACTAATGATTATGGATCTGAACCCTGTCCTTTTAAAAGTTAGACCTAAATGTAGATCAAGCTTGAACACTCTGTTAGTTCAGCTGAGATAACACTATGTAAATTTACTTGGAACAGTGACAGATTCCACTTTTAGATGCACGTCCACATCTTCCGCTGGTTTCAGTAGGAGCTTTTAGCAAACTGAGAACAGGGGTTTATCCTATATAAAGCAGGACTACGTCTTTTTGATCTTTGCTATGATGGACAAAATTCTGGTGTGGTATCAGGTAGCGCAATTTTCACTGCGAGACTTGAGCTTAGTTACACAGGACAGTATTTAGTTGGGAGCTGGCATACAGAGACTATCATGTGGCTTTTTAGCTACCTTGTCCTGTTTTTTTCTATGGTGACTCCAAAGGAAAGTTCCATCAGCGGTTCTGACTACTAGAAATTCTCCCATCACTATGCAGTATTAACAGTTTTAAAGTTCTCAAGGAGAGGTAGATACTAACTGACTTTAGTAACCCACAGCAGCCACAGTGGCCAAGATCTGCTAAAAACAGAACAAGAAAACATAAAAATTAGGAATATTTGTATTGCAAATTATTTTGTGGTGCTACTGGGATTGGAAAACACGATTCTCCAACTATGGTAATGAACACTTTTTTACATTAAGACAAGATACTGTTCCAGACTGAGCTTCCCTAGCCAGTCGATCATGTACAAAGCAGTACACCTCACAGGTCTCTAACCACTCATACAGATGCAAGTAGAATGCCACTCCATAACTTTCTCTAACTTGACAGGTTTTGTTCTTTTCAACAAAAGAAAGGTATTGCACCAGCAGATTTTATATAATTCAAACACACTTTCTGAGCAGGCACATGCGTTCTAAAAGCCCTTATAAACATCAAAATTGGTGAAGAAGCCCAGAGAGAAACAGGACTCTGGTCTTGCATCTTAGGTGCAGAACTTCATCAACAGTGCTTCTTTCTTTCTAATTATCTCTACTGCATATAAAACACTCCTAAAAACCTGATGGGAGATAATTTAATCAGCTGCTTTAAGAGGCTGGAATCTGGTGTGATAGCAGTATGTATGGAAGAGTGAAGAGGTTTTTTTATGATTTGGTAGCAGTCTTGACTCAGATAAAACAAACTGAAATTTCTGACTAAAAGGGAATCCTGCTGTTAGTCCCTGGAATGGAGACTAGGATCACAAAGGAAGAAAGAGAAATACTGTTCATGCTGGGGCCACAGGGATGGTAGGCTGCTATACTGGCCACTAAAATGATGACTTGCTGTTTTGACAACCAGGCACTGATAATCTTTGCTGTTCCCTTAGCCAGACCTAAAGAGGAGTCAACAGTATGTTCAGGCAAGCCAGTCAAGTTTTGCCAGGATTAGAAAATGCAGTGAAGAACCTAAAGGGGGGAAGATAGAGAGTAAAGAAAAAAATTAAGTACAAAAAAATTAGGTGCGCACTTAAAAAGGAGACAAGAAAAGAGGAAATCCAAAGAGAGAACTGAATAGAAGAAAATAGGAGAAGAAGGCAAGTGCATGCAAAGAAAAAAAGGGGTAACAGTGTCAAGAAGAAACTACAATAAAATAGATGAAGAAGAGTAGAAGAAGCAAGAGGAGCTTGGAACAAGGATTTCACAAAGGAGTAGGAAGTAAGGAAGCTTGAGGAGGAAAGAAATAGAGTGAAATTGTCCTCAGGGTTCCAGTTTCCCCATCTATTTTCACTCATTTTCAATACTTATTTTTGGCTACGTGTCTTACATCTTCCAAGGAAAACGGGGGTTCACTGGTTTCTTTAAATCCTTTCTCCTTACTTCTGAAGGGAAAAAGAAAAAAAAAATCAGTGTAATTAGTAAGGTTCTTTATATTCACAGGGACTGTCATGAATTATGTCCTAAGCCACCATCCTACATGTCTAATACACTTGTGCAAATTTAGGTTTGCACATGAACATCAAAATTTGTTAAGTGTAAATCATAAGCAATAGAGGCAGACTGACCTTTGCATACACAAAAGACGCAAGGTTCAAATTTAGCAAGCATTTACTATGAAGCTTCGCCTTTAGGGGGTTTAAAATAGATTCACTCTGTATTCTTTCTCTGTGGGAAAAACACCTAGAAAGGTATTTTCTGTGCAACTGCTCCACATCCAGGAAGTGCATTGCTGCAAGCATGCACAGGAAATGCTACAGGCTTTAACGTACCATAGATATTAAGAATAATTATGAATATCATCAAAAGTCCCTTTAAACAGTTTTGTCCATTTTCTGTGGCAGAAAAAAAAATGTGCATTTTTCTTTACCCTGAAACAGTTCTGCTCGGTGTTGTGCTATAGATTGAATTTGATCAGAATACTTAAGCATTTCCAGTGATGATCCTAAAGGAGAGCACACCAGAAATCTATCAGTCATTCTCCCTCATAGGGAGTGCAAATGTTGGACTAGAAGCCTTCTCCTCTGGGACATGATGAAGCACACAGTTATTAGCAAAACACATTCAAATGACATATCTATAGAAAAGAAGTTTTAAGCTGACTTTTACTCTATGTTAGTGCATTGTATAATACATGAGTCCTTCTCAGCACTGAAACTTTATTTTCAAATTACATATTTACTCACTCAGCTATATCTAGAGCTATCCTTTCTCAGGAGTCTAACACTGTTTCTTCCTTTTCAGGTAAAGATCACTTTATTAATTTCTGCCTATTTTCCTTCAGGTTGTTGTATGTTTCTTCTGAGTACTCCACAGTGACATCAGTGCTTGCTGCTGTTTGAAAAGGTTAATGCATCTTTTGCTTCTCTCAGATCATTTATGAAGATATTGATTTAAAAAGCAGTACCCATCACTGACCTTGCAATATTCAATTGTATTTTTTGCTACAACTAGATACAATGCTGTTAATATCACTACACACTGAGAACAATCTCTCATTTCCCAAGCTAAGTTTTCTTGTATTACAGAGTCTACTGGGGTTTGGTATTTTGCGGAGTTCGTTGGCGGGGAGCAAGGGGGAAACTGAGCCTCACTGTACCTTTCAAAGCATTCAACAGAATAATTCAAGGTATTCAGCAGAACTGCAAGTCATTAAAAAAAAACCAACCCAAAACCAAACAAAACCAACACAGGGCAACAGTTACCCAAGTCACTGTCTGATGGAGAAGCTGAAATACACAGACAAGTCAGGGCACTGACATACTAAACCAGACACAGCTCAAAAACAAATAACAGGACCTACATCTGTAATCAGTCTAACAGCTGGTTTTGAACAAGTGACATTTTCTAAAAGATGCATCAAAAAAACCCTGCTTCCTGTATTCTCAACAATTTGGAGAAATCTTTCAAAATAAGTACAAACAAAAAAAGAGGGAATAAGGTCAATGGTGCAGTGTGCTCAAGAAAAGCATAATGTTTCTGCTTTCTGCACTTAAAATCCTCAGCATTTGTAACTAGAAACAATCCTTGTTTGCTACAGCAACCAAAATTGTTTTTCATCTGCTGCAAGGTTATCAGAATACACACTGTCCTTTTTTTCTCCAATTTTCTCTATACATACTAGGTACAAAAGCAATTTATTGTCATTAAAAGTTCTTTTTTAAAAGCTTATATATTGAAAACTCAAAATCAAGAACGAAAGCGACAATAAACATCATTTGCAATTGAAAAACTAAGGACACAGGAAATAATTTCAAGCACCTAAGGACATAACGAAGTAGTAGCAACTTTAAAACAGTAACAAAGACAGAGAGAGACACAAACATATCATTACCTTGAATTCTTTTTCAATGTTGGCCAACTTGGCAAGTTCATTGCTGAGTTCTAGAGCAGTGAGTACTGGATCTTCACTGGAGAGGGACAGATAAGCCGGGCTAGCCAGTCCTTTGTATGCATTTATTCTTGACCTAGAGTGACTGAAAGAATCATGCTTTTGCTTCTCTGTACAGTCATTACATTTGCAGAAATAATCATGAGGCCTTTCTATTCTTGCTCCTTTCATCAATAGCATGTGCACGACTTCGTATTTTTGGCAGTGAGCAGCTAAAATTATGGGAGTGATATCTGGAGAAAAGCGGGTACCGTCTTCATCATAGGAATAAAAATCATCATCCTGGAGCTCCTGCTCACAAGGGCTCAAAGTCAGTCGCTTGTTTACTGAAAACCCAGGATGATTCAAAATTGCTTCCACTATCCTAATGTAGCCCTTGCTGATTGCGAGCAGCAGGGCATCACCAATCCGTGCCAAGTTCTCTTTTTTTAACAGAAGTTCTGTCACTTCCAAATGTTCATTCCCTACAGCAAGCTGTAAGGCGTTTTGGCCCATGTAGTCAACACAGTTGACATTCAGTGTTTTTGACTCCTCCAGCATTTTGCGCACCACAGGTATGTTCCCATACTCTGCTGCATCTAGAAAGCGCTCTTCTTCAGCGGTAAGGCTGGTGCCCCTGTTGTTGAACATGAATGCTGGGCCTCTAATGGCCTGTCGCCTTCCCTTTTCCCTCATCATAGTCATACGTCTCAGAGACGGACTTTCTTCAATGTACCTAATGAGAAAACAAAACAGTAACAGAATTTCATTGTGTTGGTTATTTGTAGCTTCTACCTCTCTTGTGGCTGCAAAAATAATTACTTATTGTCCATTTGCCCATGTCTAGTGGATCTATTGACAAGAAGCATTCTTTATTGTGATCTTTCTGCTTTTATGATTGCTTGTCTGCAGTCTAAAGGCACTCACAGGCTCAATGCCACAGGCCATTTCTGTTTCGTTAACATGGTCAGAAGGGGTTTTTTTCTACTTAATGTAAACCACCAATTCTCTAAAGAAATCCCTCCTAACTCACTTCAGTGTGTTTATATATA